CCGGGATAAAAGATTAACAAGGAACAAGGAGCCCGAGCTACTGTTTTCCATCAGGAACCCATCCCCTGGATAATCGAGGGAAAAACCCAAATGATATTTTAATATCGGCTGCTGCTCTCACAGCTCTGGTGAAAAGAAATAAGAAAAAAAAGAAAAAATTAGGAAAAATCAAAAAATTAGCAAAAAAGAAAAATTTTCTAATTTTTCTTTAGAAAATTTAACTCATTTTCTAAAGAAATGGGTTAAATTTGACATGTTATGGTGGGAAACTCTTCGACTTCCAGCAGAAAAGAGGAAAAGAACCAACTGAAGGCACCAAAAAAAAACCCCACAGGAGAAGGACTAGGTTAAAAAATCCCCACATTTGCATTTTCTGCAGAAAAATCGAGCAGCTGCCGCTGTGGGAAAGCACCACATTCCACTTCCTTGGGAAGCTGCACTTCCTCGGGAAGCGCCGGTTGTTCAGGTCTGCCCTCGCCACCTTGTTTTACACGGATAAGGAGCAAATCTCCAGGGAAAGGTTGGTGGTGCCACAAAAAAAAACAAAAACAAAAAAAGAGGGATTTTTGGGAGGCTGATGGGCTTTCCCAGTTCATCCCTGATTTATTCCAGCAGTTTTTTTCCTGGAAGCCTCGTTGTTCAATCTCGCCGTGTTCTCGCTGCTTAACGGCTCCCACGGGGGAACAACTTCCGAAGAAACACGGAGAGAGGGGGATTTCCCGTGGCTCCTGCGCCTTCGTGGACACGGAGAGGGGGAGGTTGTTTAATTCCAAACAATTTTCCAGGTGCAGCAGTTGGAGGGGAATGGCCTGACTTGTTTGTCTTTGCTCCGGCACACTGGGAATGCTGGAGAAATCCAGCACCGAGAGCTTCCCAAGGTTCTGATTCTCATATATCCCAATAAGTACTGGAATGGTTTGGGTGGGAAGGGAGGGGAAAGATCATGGAATTCCAACCCCCTGCCACGGGCAGGGACACCTCCCACTATCCCAGATTGCTCCAACCTCCCCTTGGACACTTCCAGGGATCCAGGGGCAGCCACAGCCTCTCTGGGAATTCCATTCCAGCCCCTCCCCACCCTCCCAGCCAAGAATTTCTTCCCAATATCCCATGGAAATCTCCCTTCCACATTTTGTGCCTGTAAGGCAAATCCCAAGGCAGCTGCTCCTTGGGATCACCTATGGATGTGATCCAAGTGCTTGTGGTGATTCCCAGATCCGAGCTCTTGGCCAGGCAGAGATCTCAGCCCATCAAATATGGGTTGGGTTGGAAGGGACCTTTAAGATCGTGGAATTCCAACTCCCTGGAATTCCAACCCCCTGGAATTCCAACCCCCTGGAATTCCAACCCCCTGCCATGGGCAGGGGCACCTCCCACTAGGCCAGGTTGCTTGAAGCCCCGTCCAACAAGGCCTTGAACAATTCCAGGATGGAGAATCCACAACCATCCAATGTCTCCTCCCGCTTCTCCCCAACCTTGGGATCACACCACCGCGAACGGCAACTTCATCCCTCACATCCACATCCTCATCCCACCCTCTCCCAGGGAATTTCCACCCCAACAGGAGGCTCCACGTGGGAGGAGGGATGTGGAGCCAGAGAGGAGCAGCTCATTGCCTTTGGAAAACCCTGGGGAGCCCCTGGGAGAGAGGTCCCGTTTCTCCCTCTCTTCCCACTTCCAGGGGGAAGATCAGGGAGCTCCAGGAAAGGCGGGACAGAGACATCCACGGTGGGAATCCTTCATGGATTCAGCTTCAACACGGATGATGCCGTGTTTAGGGACGATCCAGATATCCATGGGGATATCTGGAGCCGTGTTTCACCCACTGCTTCACCAAGCTCAACTTGCAGGTCCCTCCAATCCCTTTGGGAAGCACAAAAAGGGGGAGAAATTCCCGAGCCACGACCGAGGAACCCATTGAGGATGCTGGAAATCAAGGCCCCCTCTCTGCCACCGGTTCCACCTTCCGGAAACAGAATCCCGGGATCATTTAGGTTGGAAAAGACCCCCCAAGATCAGCAAGTCCAACCTGTGACCAACTAATTAATATTGAGGATGACATTCCCTTAATGAAGGAACTGCCCCTCTCCCAAAGGGTGGAGGGACCTTGGCCCTCTCCAGCCCACATTCCCGGAAAAAGGGATTTGGGAATGCCAACTTAAAGCTTTTCCATGTTATCCTACATAATTCCTGATGAAGCCAGAACAGGTTTGGCTCCGGCAGTTGGAGTTCCAGCCCACGGGATGGGTCAAAGGCCTGATCCACTTGTCCTGGAATCCTCCGAGACATCCCAGGAAGTGCTTAAGTGGCGCCGCCGCCACGTCATAAATTATGGATCATAATGGACATTTTTGATGGAAGCCTGATAAAAACCAGGAATTGCTCTTTGGGGAGGAGCACAAGGAGGAAAACACCACCGGGAGAAGAGCCCTGTGTGCCGAATTCCAGCATAAAAGCATCTAAATCCCAAATTATTGCTGTCCTTCTCCGAGTTTATCCGCCCAGGACGTCGCTCCGGCGTCTCCCCCGTTCCCAGGGCAGGGAAAGGTGGAACGAGGGCAAGATTTACTCCCGGCCTAAATTATTCACCGGGAAAAGGGAGCGTTGCCTCTTTAACGAGCCGTCGTTTTTTATGGAAGCCGAGGTTAACATTTTTCCCTCGATTCAGGAGAATATTAGAAACTCTCCGGGGTCCATTTGAGGACTTTCCACTCGGAGCAAAAGGCCCGGACTCAGCACTTTCGATATTATTTAGAGGATAAAATTAACCCTTAATGGCCCACGCTGGTATTTCTCCCTCCCCCAGTTCAATCTGGCCCTCTCAGCACTTTCTCCCCCATCCATAATTACAGGCTGCTATCCATCATCCGGAGGAGAATGCCTTCCCCGACGCTCCCAAAGTGACGCCGTAAGCACTTTTCCTAATAGAATAAATATTCTAACTATCTCTTTGATATTTTCATTTAAATTGCAATAGTTTTTTTCGAAACGAATTGGCACAGGCCCCTGCCTGCGTGGTTGGTGCCGGGCCTGAGGGGGAGGCAGGCGGTGTTCCTGCGTTTTCCTTCCCGGGAATTGTTTATCCCGTCCCCTCCAAGAAGGAATTAAGCCCAGACTAATTTATTAGAGCTTCCCTTCATTGCTGCTGATGTGATGCTTGCCCTAAAACTCTCCCTTTTGGCTTTTTATTCCCCCCCCTTTCTTCTTGCCTGGTTTTTGCTCCGTGGCGCTTTTTCCCTCGGGAAAAGGTAGGACTTGGTTGAAAGGTTGGACTCGATGGGCTTCGAGGTCTTTTCCCGACCTAAACGATCCAATTATTCCACCCAAGGTCATGTTTGGATTCTGTTTGGAGCCTGGGACAGGTGATGACACCACGGGGATTGGGAATGGGGCGCCCACGGCTCCGCTTGGCCAACGAGGGATGGAGAAAAGGAGGAGAAAAGCCCTTTGGAGCTCCAGCACGTCAATCCAAGCATCCAACTGCTCATCCCAGCATCTTCCCTGGTGGGAAGCAGTCAAAACCATGAGGGAGGAAGAGATCTCCAAGAGCAGCAAGTCCAAGCCCAGCGTGTTTAGGAGGATGTGAATGAAAGTGCTGTCGGTTGCTGTCGGCTCATGGAAGCGGATGAACCGATCCAGGACATGGAGGAGATGGTTTTTCCATAGGAAAAGCATCCCAGAGGTGCTTCCCAGCTTCCCAGAGGAAGAGGATGGCTGCCATCCTCCCCCTGGGCTCAGGGGTGGGCCAATGCTGCGCAGCAAATCATGGAATCATGGAATGGTTTGGACGGGAAGGGACATTAAAGATCATCCAGTTCCACTCCCTGCCATGGGCAGGGACACCTCCTGCTATCCCAGGTTGCTCCAAACTCCCCTTGGACATTTCCAGGGATCCAGGGGCAGCCACAGCTTCTCTGGGAATTCCATTCCAGTCACTCATCACTCTCACAACCAAGAATTCCTTCCCAATATCCCATCTATCCCTGCCCTCTGGCAGTGGGAAGCCATTCCCTGTGTGCTGTCCCTCCATCCCTTGTCCCCAGTCCCTCTCCAGCTCTCCTGGAGCCCCTTTAGGCCCTGGAAGGGGCTTCAAGGTCTCCCTGGATCTTTCTCTTCTCCAGGTTGGCCATTCCCAGCTCTCCCAGCCTGGTTCCAGAGCAGAGGAGCTCCAGCCCTTGGAGCATCTCCGTGGGCTCCTCTGGACTCGCTCCAGCAGCTCCACACCCTTGGGAGGACCCCAGTGAGGGCCTGAGCTCACTGCCACCCCCTTCTCCCATCTTTTACAAAGAACAAGGGAGCCATAAGATGTTGGATAAACCCCAACATT